ATATTGTATGAAAATATATCTTGTAAGGCGCTCTGAGTCCCCTTTGGGGTGAGAAGGGCGGCATATAAATGTCGTAAATAAATAAATTTACTAAATCAAGAATATAAAGTGGGGAGGGACAAGGTTATATCAAAAAGTAGGAAGCAGGGTAGACCTTGCAATATACAAAACAAGCCAGAGGTCAACAAAAGTGAGGCCTTTCTGGAAAATAATTCAAGAAGTTTATCAAAAGATTCTGAAAACAACTATTCCCTTAAAACCAGATCATTACCTCTTAGGGATGGGCAATATGGGCTGGGATATAAACTCAGACAAGTTGTTTGTTTACCTAACATCAGCAGCACGAATCGTTCTTGCGAGGGTTTGGAGACAAAATAAAATACCATCGCAGGAAGATTGGCTAGAAAAGATATGATGAACATGGCCCACCTGACTTTCTTATTAGCAAAACACCAGAATACACATATTAAGACCACAAACTGGACCCCTGTTAAGGAATGGATAAAAGAGAATAACTTAAAAGATGTTGATATGAGGATAGTTCAGGACTTAAGAATTACTGACACTATATTATTTTGAGAAGAAGAAAAAAGGAAATTCCAAGTATTTTTTTCTTAGTACCATTAGTACTTAGTACTGACCACCTTGATTAGCATTTGGCGGCCTGGCAGTGCCTGGAGCAATCTTTTGTTGAGAGGTGATTTGATGTCCTTGTTTGTTTCCTCTCTGTTGTTGTGCTGATGCAATTTGAAAACATGAAAGGCACTGCAGATTACTTCAACCAGAGAAAATAGGCCATAGCAGAGCACCTGATGAACCAACCTGGACACAGCATTTTATTTGATAAGACAGAAATGCTGGACCACTCTCACAACCACCATGTCAGGCTACTCAGAGAAGCCATTGAAATCCACAAGAAGCAGGTGGACAATTTCAACAGGAAGGAGGAAACCATGAAAATGAACAAGATCTGGCTACCAGTATTAAAAAAAAACCTGTAAAATTACAACAGCACAACAACAGAGAGGAAACAAACAAGGACATCTAATCACCTCTCAACAAAAGTTTGCTCCAGGCACTGCCAGGCCACCAAATGCTAATCAAGGTGGTCAGTTGAAACATTTACACCTAGCCCCAGCAGAGAAGAGTCCTTTGTCCCACCCTGGCCATTCCACAGATATACTATAAACCCTTTTTCCTAGTTCCAACAGACTTCACTACCTCTGAGGATGCTTGCCACAGATGCAGGCGAAACGTCAGGAGAGAATGCCTCTAGACCATGGCCATATAGCCCGAAAAAACCTACAACAACCCAGTGATTCCAGCCATGAAAGCCTTTGACAATATATAAACCCCTTTTCCTAGTTCCAACAGACCTCACCACCTCTGAGGATGCTTGCCACAGATGCAGGCGAAACATCAGGAGAGAATGCCTCTAGACCATGGCCATATAGCCCGAAAAAACCTACAACAACCCAGTGATTCCAGCCATGAAAGCCTTCGACAATTCAATAAAAATTATTGAAGAAAAAAAAAAAAAAAGAAAGCCAAGGAAACACTGCAGGAACTAGAAATCCAAAAAACATGGAAATGATCCAAGGTAACTCCAGGAACATGAACACAGGAAACCCTTCCAAGCAAAAACTCTTCCAAGGCATATAGACAAAGGCAGGAACAGAAAACAAGAACCCTGGCAATACAAATCCCATGATCTTGAGAACACGAACAGAAGACCGTTTTCACCTCTCTCAAAGTTGTCTTCTCTGAAAAGCTGGGAATCAAACACCTAATTGAAGCCCAACATCTTCCTTATCGCATCTGGACGTGCAACTCCTCTCTCTACTTGTTTGGGAATGTCTTCTTTTGGGCCTGCTTTTCAGGCCTTGCGTTCTGAGATCTAATCTGCACTCCCTAGTGACCTCTACGCCCTCCCCGTCTTCCCAAGGCCTTTTCTCCAGGGAAAATTCAGTTTCACTTTCCCTGGTATGCACAGGCCAACCTGTCTCAGGCTGGCCTGTCTACAAATCTCCCGGAATGCTCTCAGAGACTTCATTTTGAAACCCACCATCCTCCGCAGAATCATCTGGCTCAGTGTTTCTCAACCTTCCTAAAGCCGAGACCCCTTAATACAGTTCCTCACGTGTGGTGACCCCCAACCATCATGTTATTTCTGTTGCTACTTCATAACTGTAATTTCGCTACTGTTATGAATCAGAATGTAAATATCTGATATGCAGGATGTATTCTCATTCACTGGACCAAAATTTGGCACAAATGCCCGATTCACCAAAATCTGAAYGCTGGTGGGGTTGAGGACGGGGGGGTTGATTTTGTCATTTGGGAGTTGTAGTTGCTGGGATTTATAGTTCACCTACAATCAAAGAACATTCTGAACTCCACCAACGATAGAACTGAACCAAACTTAGCACACAGAACTCCCATGACCAACAGAAAATACTGGAAGGGTTAGGTGGGCATTGACCTTGAGCCTGGAAGGGTTAGGTGGGCATTGACYTTGAGCYTGGAAGGGTTAGGTGGGCATTGACYTTGAGCYTGGAAGKGTTAGGTGGRCATTGACYTTGAGCYTGGAAGGGTTAGGTGGGCAYTGACCTTGAGCTTGGAAGGGTTAGGTGGGCATTGACYTTGAGCCTGGAAGGGTTAGGTGGGCATTGACYTWGAGCYTGGAAGGGTTAGGTGGGCATTGACCTTGAGCTTGGAAGGGTTAGGTGGGCATTGACCTTGAGCTTGGAAGGGTTAGGTGGGCATTGACCTCGAGCTTGGAAGGGTTAGGTGGGCATCGACTTTGAGCTTGGAAGGGTTAGGTGGGCATCGACCTTGAGCTTGGAAGGGTTAGGTGCGCATTGACCTCGAGCTTGGAAGGGTTAGGTGGGTATTGGCCTTGAGCTTGGAAGGGTTAGATGGGCATTGACTTTGAGCTTGGAAGGGTTAGGTGGGCATTGACCTTGAGCTTGGAAGGGTTAGGTGGGCATTGACCTCGAGCTTGGAAGAGTTAGGTGGGCAATGACTTTGAGCTTGGAAGGGTTAGGTGGGCATTGACCTTGAGTTTGGAAGGGTTAGGTGGACATTGACCTTGAGCTTGGAAGGGTTAGGTGGGCATTGAGTTTGAGCTTGGAAGGGTTAGGTGGGCATTGACCTTGCCCTTGGAAGGGTTAGGTGGGCATTGACCTTGAGCTTGGAAGGGTTAGGTGGGCACTGACCTTGAGCTTGGAAGGGTTAGGTGCGTATTGACCTTGAGCTTGGAAGGGTTAGGTGGGCATC